GTAACTGTCGCTTCAAACTAACATGCTTTAGAATTCATCTGCATGGGAGACAGAATAATTATAACAAAATTTATCAAACACCAGCTGCTGTAGACTTCGTCATTAATTCAGAATTAATGGCTCAGTATATCGTAACAACTATAAGAAAAACAAAAAAATATCTTTGCAAAATTGTTCCAAACTAGAGATCTGTTTTAGTTCATCTATTATTGATATCAAAAACAACCTTAAGATAAGCAGGATTCTTTTTAAGCGATCATTCAGAATGATTGGAGATGCTATCAAAACTATCATGATCACAGCTCACGAACAGCACAGACATTTGCGTGTAGCAACCATCCTGTATAAATACTCTTTCTTCTAACAATGAGGTTGCGTATTTAGGAGGAAACGACTTTCTCCCTCATAAAATCGGGGTGTAGAATAAGCGAACAACAGAAAGCAATCAAAACCAGGAAATTGTAACAATCTTCGTGAGACGAACTTAGTTTCTTTCACATTACCCAGGGGTGCTTCGTTGTGTCAATCTTGTTTCAGTGTTATCCTTGGTGTGGATTTCCAAGAAGAATTCGGCGACAATGGCAGCCAAGAGAACGGCTAAAACGGCGGTAAATGTTACCAAGGATTCATCGCTTTATGTCTCAGACGATCAAGATTTTGAAACAGACCTGGAAGACGATCTCGAGGACAGCCCCGACACACCAAACAAGACAACAACAGAACGTTACCTCGATGCCTGCGACTCCCTGAACACAGTTCCAGTCACCAAATTTGTTCGTCAGTGCACAACTGGTCATGTAGACCTAAAGCATTATGGAATCCGGGACATCGGAGCCCAGGCCGTCGCCATTGCTTTGGAAAGGGACATAATAGTGACATATCTATGTCTTCATGACAATGGCATTGGGGACGTGGGTTCAGTTGCTTTGTCCAGAATGCTGAAAGACAACTGCTTCGTGTCGAATTTGGACCTTTCTGAAAACAAGATTGGAAAGGAAGGTGCTCGAGCTATTGCCGAGATGTTACTAGAGAACGCCTCTCTGCAGGAAGTGAACTTGAGTGGTTGTGGAATTCATGGTAAAGATATCAAGCAATTCTTGGACGCGTTGTCTTTCAATCCACACTTAAAGAGCTTGGATTTCAGTTACAATGATCTGGGAGACGAAGGTGCCATTCATTTGGGACGAGCCCTTTCAGCAAACCAAAAGGTGGAATTCCTTGATATTAGCTGGAACAACATCCGGGCATCGGGAATCGAAGCGCTCGCTAAGGGACTCGCGGGGAATACGAAATTGCTAGAACTTGATCTCTCCTGGAACTGTTTCCTGGACGAGGGAACGACTCATCTCAGTTCTGCTCTGGCGCAAAACCGTTGCCTGAAAGTGTTGGAGATGCATAGCTGCGGGATTCACACCGCTGGGGCTTTCAAGATCGCAGACGCCCTCAAGAAAAATCAAAGCCTTGAAGTTCTCAGGATCGGAAAGAATCCTTTCCAAAGCTCAGGAGCTTGCTCACTTCTCCGGAGTGTAAGATGCAACCAGACTGGGGCCCTTCGTGAGCTTCTGCTCGACGATGTCGTGTTCGACGATGAATGCGTGAAAGAATTGTCTTCTCTTCTCGAGGAACGGCCCAACTTTACCTGCTCTTGGGACGTCAGCATTCGAGGCGGACACGCGGTAAAAGGAAAAAAGAGAAAGCCAGACGTTGTCGAGATTTTCCTTACTTTTGTCCGGACGCGGGGACTTCGTCTGATTGACTTGTTCAGAATGCTGGCCAAGGACGGCAATGCTACGAGTATTTCAAAAACCGAATTCATTGCAGGAATGAAAAAACTCAATGCTCCACTCAAAGATCACCAACTGAGAGCGATGTTCGAGGTTTTAGATGTGAATCATGATGATCTGGTGGAGTTCTACGAATTCCTTGGTTCGAGGAGTCACTATTTGAAAACAGTGCGGAAATAACACTATTCCTCTCTTGCCATAGAAGACTTCACTAATCTTACGAATGCACCAAATGGGAAACAAACCAGAGCTTGCAAGGGATGGCAACGTCGGCTCACACGAGGGGACTAGTCCTTGCGACTAGTCACTGTAACAAGATAAGTCCCATCGTGTGAACTAGCCATTTTTGCCACAAACTGGTCTGAAATTTTGAGACAAGTCCCTGCGACTTGTTCCTCAAAACGCTTCGTGTGAACTGTTCGTGGGACAAGTCCCTGCGACCAGTCCCTTCGTGTAAACCCTTCAGGGAACTAGTTGCAGAGACTAGACCCTCCTGTGTGCCGACCTTTAATTTTCTTGGAAGACCGCAGCTTGCCCATTAAGCCCGTTTCTAACGAACATATAGTCCAACAGGATGTTCCTCTAAAAGACATTTTGCCCTGTTGCGGTGAAATGTTCGAAAATTGGTTAACAGTTTGTTCGAAGGAACTTGCAACTTTGAATTTGCCCGAGTACGTTTCAAAGTTCTGTTTAAGGGTTGCCGAGTTCGGAAAATGTAGAAAACCGGAAGCGAATATCTGTCAAGAGACAAATAAGGGTCACCGATCGTCTAAGATCGTTAAATCAACGTACATTTGTGGCAGTGGCCACTATTACTCTTGCTTGGAGTGGCCAGTGAATTGCCTGCGCAATAAGGATGCGCACATACAGCTTACGCGAACGCAATTATTCAATTATAAACGAGAGAAAGAGTGGAAAAAAGGTTGATGATATAAGGCTGCTGAATTGTTTCAAGTCAAAGAATAGCTGTTTTTGCAGTTTTGTCTGCGGCCATATACTCTTTAGTTGAAAAAACATGCCAACGACGCGAAAGGGTCAATTCAAACCAGAATTGACCCTTTCGCTTCGTTGCACGTTAAACCACTGATAACTGTAATAACAGTCATCGGTTCCCAGATCACTTCTAATGCTCAACGAAAATGGATGAATATACAAAACAATGAAACTTGCAAAGGTAGTTTTATTTCTGTTAAAGAAAGCAGAGCAGTCACTTTTATTCTTTGGATATTAAGTTAAGCCACAGTTCAGTTATGTTAACCTTAACTTCCCTTTCTCTTGAAAGGAAATTGAAAGAACGCAAGAGTTTATCAGGAGCACAAAAGTCTGTCTAAACTGAGTCAAATACCAGGCCAGATCGAGTCGGTTCGTGTCGGCTTTGCTCAACTAATCTTCGTGAGCTTCATCTCCAGGAATGACAGTGCTCGGATGCCTTAAAATGTTACAACATACTGTGCAACTCTCAATTCCAAGCGATTAAACTCGCTTGGTATCAACCATTTCACTTCCAGAGTCAAACCATGCGTATTAGAGAGGTTTCAACTGTTGAGAGTGTGACCATTCAAAAGAAAGCTAATGATCAGTTCTTTCACGTGGCACTGTTTATTACGCTGTTAATTAGTCTCCGAATGAAACCGTAGCGTGCGACCATTTAACAAACATCTAATACTGTTATATTCCGTTAACACTCGTGGAAGTGAAAAGGTCAACAATGGTTCAAGGAGAACGTTCGTTAATCCTCGTCGACATATTCGAATGGTTCCGGTGGCTCAGGCTCATCTTCGTCCTCTTCAGCGCCGATGCCCATCGGAGAAGAAGCTGAAACATAAAACAAAGGAAAGCNAAAGGTAGTTTTATTTCTGTTAAAGAAAGCAGAGCAGTCACTTTTATTCTTTGGATATTAAGTTAAGCCACAGTTCAGTTATGTTAACCTTAACTTCCCTTTCTCTTGAAAGGAAATTGAGAGAACGCAAGAGTTTATCAGGAGCACCAAAGTCTGTGTAAACTGAGTCAAATACCAGGCCAGATTGAGTCGGCTTGTGTCGGCTTTGCTCAACTAATCTTTGTGAGCTTTATCTCCAGGAACGGCAGTGCTCGGATGCCTTAAAATGTCTGTATTACAACCTACTGTGAAACTCCCCAACTCCAAGCGATTAAACTCGTTTGGTATCAACCATTTCACTTCCAGAGTCAAACCATGCGTATTAGAGAAGTTTCAACTCTTGAGAGTATGATCATTCAAAAGAAAGCTAATGATCAGTACTTTCACGTGGCACTGTTTATTATGCTGTTTATTAGTCTCCGAATGAAACCGTAGCGTGCGACCATTCAACAAAAATCTAATGCTGTTATATTCCGTTAGCTCCACATTAACAGTCGCACAAAGTCAAAAGAACAAACCTGTGCGGGAAGAACCCGAGCTGGATTCTCTAACAGTTCAAAGTCAGGTTCCTCTTCTTCCATTTTCTCACTGCTCTCCTTTTCACTCTTTTCAATCGTGGATTCCTCGTCTTTCTTGTCTTTGTCACCTTCTTTCTCCTACAAAAACAAAATTAACTAATCCTTCACTAAAGATTTAAACATACACCTCTAGAATCGTGGAAGAAAGCAGCAATACAAAATACACAGCAAACGAATTATCATTTATACGTGAATGACACCGTAACACAAAGTTAACACTTGACTGGTATAACAGAACTCCCAATTCACCACCTTACACCCAGAAGCTTCATAACTTAGAAGCAGAGGCTTTGTAAGGGAAGTGCAAAGTTAATGGGTTCGAGTCCCGTTAACCTAAAAGTCTGTTACTAGGCTTTTCTTGCAACTGCTTCATAACTTCAAATATCTCAGTCTTTCTTTTTCAATTCCCTCTTCCAATTCCGTCTTCCATAATTTCTATGTATGATTCGTTTCATATTTTCACAACTACAGCATAGTGTGTCAGACTACAACCAGAGGTTCACTGACCTTCTTAGATGTTGCTGCTTTATCTTTGTCGCCTTCTTGATCCTGTTCAAAAATAACCATACAAAAAAATAAAATAAAATAAAATAAAATAAAATAAAATAAAATAAAATAAAATAAAA